TAATTCTTTCTCGATACTTGTATTTTAGTATTTATTGTTATAGTCGTAGATAAAGTATAGTATTCAACTTGCGGTAATGGTCATAACTCACTCGATGAATTACAGCACTTGCCTGCGGCTCGTGCTGTAAACTTCATCTGCGTCAGTTATGACCTGCATTACCGCTCGTTAAATAATATACTATTATATTTATTAATAAAATAATGCATATGCAACTAACAATACAAGAGAGTAATATTGGTTGCCCAAATGTCAGGAACGCCTTACCAAAACACAGTTTTATAAATAATCTAGTCAAAATTAGAAAAAAATATTGTTTGCGAATATTAGATCATTTTGACACTTGCTGTGATTAAAAAAATGTCACTTTATATGTCAAAACTAGAAAAAATAATTTTTTCTACACCCGTATTATAATAATGCACTTATATGCCCATAATCCGTTTCATAATGATACCCATTATGATACAGATTTTTCATTATGATACAGATTTTTAATCAATAGAAACCTACAATTTTTCAAGCAAGCATGATGTTTGACGTTTGTCCTAAATTCCTATGTAATTGTTTTAGTTGTCAAAACGTATTAAATTTTCGTAGATAGCTAAACTTCGATAATTATAATATTAAAATGTCTGATATCAGCGATATAGAACACTCCTCCACACATATAGGAGAAAGGAGAAAATGCAGTACAAAATATTTTGCCCCAAAAATCTGTGGTAATACCAGTACCCAAGGTAATACCATTAATTACAATTTTGTAGAATTTTTTATAGAAATACGAGTAATTACTGTTATTGTGTTCAATACCAATATAAATAGAATATTTATAGGTCTTGATTATTTATCGGGTGTAGAAAAAATAGCGTATGCAACTCTCATGTAATGGTTATTAAAACACTCGCATAAACCATACGAAACTCGCCTTTGGCTCGTTTCGTATCCCGGTTAATGCTCGTGTATTAATAACCATCATTACATGATCGTTGCATAATATACTATTATATAATGATTTGACGTTTAAAAATCAATAGCAATGTATGTGGTTTCACAGTTAATGAAAATAAGTACCCGTCCATAATTGCATAAAATATGTTTCATATTAATTGTATTTTAGAAACACTGATATTCTATAAATATAATATATCTAAATAAAAAAAAATATAAAAATAATTGAGGTTCTCAGTTGAAAGAAATTATCAAGTAAAATCAAAAACGCAACGGTATTTTTTTGTATTTTCACACCCATAGTGGTCTGAAACGTGGAATAAAAAAATTTAAAAATAAAAAACATTTTAAAAAATAAACAATATCACTTTAAATAAACGAGAAAAAATAGGTAAATAACGATGGAAAACCATTGAATTATTGGTTAGAAGTATTAAAAATCGAAAATAACTGTAAACTAACCGGAAATGCGAAATATTAATTCCTATGTTAAGTTCCAATCTTTGTATGATACAATAATTGGTGTTCGTCCTTGAAACATTTCAAAAAATTATCGATAATGGCCCTACCACTTCTTTTGAAAATACCGTTTCATTTCGTAAATAAAAGCTTGCTATCCAACTTTTCAAGAGTTCTTCTTAAAGCTTCGCATAAGCCACACAGGTTACAGTTTACTATATTACTCGTAACTTCTCAAAATCGCAAAACCCGCGCGCGCAATATTTTAAATGATCCATAAGTTTTATTGTGCCTCTTACGTATGTAAACATCTTACAAAAAGCAAAGTCTGTTGAATAGAAATTGGAATAGGAATTCACCAAAGGGTCACTCCCGATGGGCCCTAAAACTTTTCTCTAGACGACGACAACAACTGAAAAGAAAAAAAAACGACAACAACCAGTAAGAGTAATTCTCGAAAAACAGTCTCTTTCCATTTACTGGAAACGATTTTCTCCATCGGACTTGTTTAACTTTGTTTGGCCCGTCCATCGTCACTATATTGCAATCTGCGTCTGTTTCGCCAAACAAGTTTTCTACTTTCTTTCCATCTTCTTCCGAATGGATTTGTATTGAAAGTTTTACGTCGATGTGCAGAATTTTACTTTTTTGTTGCGAATATATATTTATCGATTTAATGAAAGCTATTTTTATGGACAGGTTTGATTAGAGACAAGAAAACTTTGTGTACTTGTAATTACTGCAAAATTAAAAAATATTACAATTTTTGAGTAAGTCGTTCCGTTTTGGAAATAAGGAAATGTGTACAATTAATTACATTAGGTCTTAAGTATTGTAAAATAATTTATTTCAAAGATTAGTTTTGCATATTTATTAGCAAAATTAAACACATGAGCAGTACGTGAAAGTTACCAAATCAAAGTAATAAATTAACAAAATGAAATTAGAATCATTTTGAGAAAAAAGCCATAAAACAGATCATATCTTTGGATAAACATAAATGAATATTGCATTTTTGGCATTTATCCTTGATTTTAATGTATATTTAAGAAATTACATCAACTTGGTTGCTTTGTGTTATCATGAAGGGGGAGGTAATCTACACCATAACTCAAAAGTTTGAAATCAAAATTTAAAATTTGTAATTAATCAAAACCGCCTTTATATTTTTTTTTTCAAATTTGGTGACCAAATATCGTAGTACCATTAATTTTATAGGTTTAAGTAATATGTATTTTAGGTTAATTTTTAATTAATACATCAAAGTTGTTTCTAACCTAAAATTGCAATTGACATGGGCGTACGTACCCTTATGTTAAGTTATAGTTTTGATTTGGTTCATCGATAGGGTTGCCAGATGTCCCGCTTTAGGCGTAATTGTCTCTTGGTGGTACGCATCATACCATAGTACGAAAATGTCATCCTTTTAACCTAAATGCCATGCTTTTTAAATTTAAAGAAATTAAACAATTTTTGAGGAGGTAAGACCTTGTTTTTTGAGAAGCTGTCCAGAAAAAGGACTTGTTATATAAAAATATAAGCGGAGGAAAGTTTTTTAACGTGATCTCCAGTAGTCACGGTTGTCCCACTTTTTTTTTTCGTAAATCTGGCAACCCTATTCATTGAACACAATGTTTAATTTCAACTTGTCACTAACATTAAGAAAATTGATCAGGTCTTTAATTTTACCCATACAATATAAAAAAAACCTTTTTTTACCAGAAACTTAATTATTATGTTTATTGTTAATTTAGTTCCATGCACCATTTTTCATAAATTTAAAGTGTACAAGTCAAAATGTGTGTGTGTGTGTGTGTGTGTGTGTGTGTGTGTGTGTGTGTGTGTGTGTGTGTGTGTGTGTGTGTGTGTGTATGTTCCACTATACTTATGGCAACTAGTGTGTGCAATAACCTCTGTTGTGGCACCTGCCAGAATTGTGGCAACTTACACGCGTTGCCACAATTTTAAACTTTCATAATTCCTTAAATTGTAGCTTTATACCTTACTTTATTTATTTGTATCCTTAATATTTCATTTTATTTTCTAATGACTAATATAATTATCAAATTTTTCTTATAATTTTGTTTATAATTGACATTTTGTGAAAATATGTGTGAGTTGCCACAATAGTGGATATATTATGTTTGTTACACTTACCCATTTATGGCAACATGGGCGTGGTCGGACGGTGGCGCCCTCATTAAAGAATTTACAGCGTTGCAGTTGTATCTTGAACGAACGAATAAATTTCGTTTCTTTGGTATATTGCAATATCTTCTTGATTTTGAAGTTGCCACTATTTCACAAGCGGGTGTGTAAAATAATTTATGAATGTAAAGCAGATTGTTTGTTAAATACACAGAATATCCATACTTGGAACAAAAGTAATTATTACTTAAATAAAATGAGAAGAAAAGAGAGGGTTTTAAAAGGTATTGCGGGTTTTAATTTGTTACTTATCAAGTAGATGAGTTCAGATACCTATATTTTTTTACAAAATTTTAAAAGGAAGCTGTTATGTTATTGTACGAGGCACAAGGTGAGTTATAAATAACTGTTAATTATTTTCTATATATTTTTTTTTACTGAGCGACAGGGTGATCTATGAATTTTGTTTAACATTTTTTTTTTGTAGGCATAGATTAGCTATCAGAATTAGAAAATATATGGTACATGTGTGAATACCAAGGAGTACACGCTGAGAAATTATTGCCAACATTCCAGTACCGGTTTCGGTATTTTTTCTTCAATACATACAGCTTTTTTAAAGCTTTGTCTAAAAATATAACATCTACATACATTGACATCAGAAAAATTATATGAGCATGATCATTGCTTTTCCTACATCTTTCAATTTTTTCACACGCTTAATATGCATGAACTTTAATCAAGAGTAAATATTCGTGGTATTCGTGATGAAAAAAAACTTATCAATGTTAAGAAATTTTTTAACTGTTTAATGTGTACATTTCTTCTGTGGTTCTCCAGGTCTTATAACTTTTAACCGAGCATTAATTTTGATATTTTCTTCTACTCTATTTTATTTTGTTAAAATTTTGGTACTTAATGGAAATTTTACTAATTATCACAACTATCAAGTCATCAGTTCTATTACGTATTAACACCTCATATCGATTTAACAATGATTGTGGCAACATGTAAATTTGGTAACTGCATATTTTACACAGTTCCCGTAAAACAATAATAATGGCAACTTCGATACAAACTTTCTTCATACTTTCATATTTAAGGCAACCTGTTTACCCTCACCCAATAGTGGCGACTGATGCCATAAATAATTTTCCGTTATAAATTCCAAACTACGGAGGGTAAAAACAAAATTCGAAGAGTTATACACTCCTTAGAAAAGGAGCCATTAACAGTAAGAATATTTTGTAAAGCGCCACAATTGAGGACTTAGCAAGTCACAATTTTAAACTTTTATAATTCTGCAAACTGTAGCTTTAGATGTTAGTTTATTTATTTGGGTCTTTAAAATTTCATTTTATTTTCTAGTTGTTATTAAAATTATGGAATTTTTCTTTTAATGTTTTTTATAATCGATATTTGGTGAAAATATGTGTAAGTTGCCACAGCAGTGGATATACTGTGTTTGTAACACTCACCCATTTATGGCAACTTGGGCGTGGTCCGACGGTGGCGCACTCATTCAGCTTCCTCTAACTGAGCCATATATATCGATGCTATGGCATATTTAAGTATCGGCTTGAAAACGTCAAGTTGCCAGTATTTCTCAGGTGAGTGTAAAGGGACAACGCAATTATGAGTTCTCGCACAAATAAAATCATGAATCTCTCTCGAGGGCTGGATCATGCAAATTTATTTTTGCCAAATTACGAATCAACCAAAGGAACGTCTTTAGAGGAGCAACAGATTGCAATTAAAGGTAAGTACTTAGTATTGTAACAATAAAATATTTCGTGATTGTGTACAAATTTGTTTAATATATTACCAAACTTAAATGAAACAAGAATTTTATGTATGGAGGCGATGTGAAAATTATTAGGCAGGGAGTTATATTAGCAATTAAAATATTTAATTTTCGACTTAACAGCAAGATGGGTGAAACATTGATAGTGTATACTTTTACAATAAACAAAGGTAGTTAGTGTGGGTGCTATATGATCAATGCAAATAGTTCTTAATTTTTACTGTGGAAAAGGTGATAATTTTTTTTATTTATAATTTCATTTTGTCGGTATAGCCTAATAATTAACTGTCACAATTTGTAAATATTTGATATGTGTGGTACACTCCAGATGCAAAAGAATTATGCAAAAATTCTAGTATCGGCTTCGGAAATATTTTACAGGGTGTACTTTTTTTACCTAAAATTATATTTAATCGAAATAGCTTTATAGTTATTAGAAATAGCAAATATTTGGTAGGTGTGGTATACTCTAAAATGTTAAGTATTTGGTACACAGAAACAGGTTGACGTTAAATAAAAAAATTATTATTTCAAAATTCGAGTACCAACGCTGATATTTTTAGTTGTTTTTATACCAAAATATATGTTCTTATAGTTTTAACCAGAAATGCAGACTCCGCTTAAATTTTTTTTATCAATAATGCAAATATATGTATATCGAGCAACAGAAAGAAGAATATTCATATAAAGCGAGAATAAGAATGTGACAGTTTATAATAGGTTTTGGCAATCACATGACGTTGTCCAATCTTGTTGGCAATTTTTGACAGTGGGATTATAGGCGCGCATGTTTTTTATGAAGCTATCGCAGTTCCTTCCTGCTAATTGGCAGTACATTAGTAGAATTTAAGCTGAATATGTCTAACATACATGTATTGATAAAAAAAATCATGTTTACATTATTTTTGCCAGACTTAACAATTATTTCACACTTGAAAGTGTGGATGGATGTATGTTTGTTGCTCAATCACGTAATATACATTTTCATCTGGAATAGCACATAGGCTACTTTTTATCCCGAAAAAATGTACCGTTCCCGTGGGATCGATTTGGTATTGTTTTTCACAGAGCAAGGGATCGGACGTAATTTTTTTGCATAGTGGTAGTGAAACATGAAAATTTGAAATACTGTTACTGAGCATAAATAAATAATGATGTGTTTTTGGTTTCTCACATTTTAAGGGGGGAAACAGGGGTTAAAAGTTTACATGGAAGCATTGATTTTTTAATATGTAGAAACTTGAAAATTGGAGTTACAGCTACTCATTACAAATAAATAATGGTGTGTTTCAGGTTTTTGAATTTTCATATTTTAAAAGGGAAAAGAGAAAAAATGGGGGAACAGAGGAAATGAGGGAAAGAAGAAAAATGGGGGAAATGTGTGTGGAGTAAAAGTTTGTATGGTAGGATCTTGAAAATTGGAATTGTAGGTACTCTTTATAAATAAATAAATTATTAAAAATTATTAAAAATTATTAAAAATTATTAAAAATTATTAAAAATTATTAAAAATTATTAAAAATTATTAAAAATTATTAAAAATTATTAAAAATTATTAAAAATTATTAAAAATTATTAAAAATTATTAAAAATTATTAAAAATTATTAAAAATTATTAAAAATTATTAAAAATTATTAAAAATTATTAAAAATTATTAAAAATTATTAAAAATTATTAAAAATTATTAAAAATTATTAAAAATTATTAAAAATTATTAAAAATTATTAAAAATTATTAAAAATTATTAAAAATTATTAAAAATTATTAAAAATTATTAAAAATTATTAAAAATTATTAAAAATTATTAAAAATTATTAAAAATTATTAAAAATTATTAAAAATTATTAAAAATTATTAAAAATTATTAAAAATTATTAAAAATTATTAAAAATTATTAAAAATTATTAAAAATTATTAAAAATTATTAAAAATTATTAAAAATTATTAAAAATTATTAAAAATTATTAAAAATTATTAAAAATTATTAAAAATTATTAAAAATTATTAAAAATTATTAAAAATTATTAAAAATTATTAAAAATTATTAAAAATTATTAAAAATTATTAAAAATTATTAAAAATTATTAAAAATTATTAAAAATTATTAAAAATTATTAAAAATTATTAAAAATTATTAAAAATTATTAAAAATTATTAAAAATTATTAAAAATTATTAAAAATTATTAAAAATTATTAAAAATTATTAAAAATTATTAAAAATTATTAAAAATTATTAAAAATTATTAAAAATTATTAAAAATTATTAAAAATTATTAAAAATTATTAAAAATTATTAAAAATTATTAAAAATTATTAAAAATTATTAAAAATTATTAAAAATTATTAAAAATTATTAAAAATTATTAAAAATTATTAAAAATTATTAAAAATTATTAAAAATTATTAAAAATTATTAAAAATTATTAAAAATTATTAAAAATTATTAAAAATTATTAAAAATTATTAAAAATTATTAAAAATTATTAAAAATTATTAAAAATTATTAAAAATTATTAAAAATTATTAAAAATTATTAAAAATTATTAAAAATTATTAAAAATTATTAAAAATTATTAAAAATTATTAAAAATTATTAAAAATTATTAAAAATTATTAAAAATTATTAAAAATTATTAAAAATTATTAAAAATTATTAAAAATTATTAAAAATTATTAAAAATTATTAAAAATTATTAAAAATTATTAAAAATTATTAAAAATTATTAAAAATTATTAAAAATTATTAAAAATTATTAAAAATTATTAAAAATTATTAAAAATTATTAAAAATTATTAAAAATTATTAAAAATTATTAAAAATTATTAAAAATTATTAAAAATTATTAAAAATTATTAAAAATTATTAAAAATTATTAAAAATTATTAAAAATTATTAAAAATTATTAAAAATTATTAAAAATTATTAAAAATTATTAAAAATTATTAAAAATTATTAAAAATTATTAAAAATTATTAAAAATTATTAAAAATTATTAAAAATTATTAAAAATTATTAAAAATTATTAAAAATTATTAAAAATTATTAAAAATTATTAAAAATTATTAAAAATTATTAAAAATTATTAAAAATTATTAAAAATTATTAAAAATTATTAAAAATTATTAAAAATTATTAAAAATTATTAAAAATTATTAAAAATTATTAAAAATTATTAAAAATTATTAAAAATTATTAAAAATTATTAAAAATTATTAAAAATTATTAAAAATTATTAAAAATTATTAAAAATTATTAAAAATTATTAAAAATTATTAAAAATTATTAAAAATTATTAAAAATTATTAAAAATTATTAAAAATTATTAAAAACTATTAAAAATTATTAAAAATTATTAAAAATTATTAAAAATTATTAAAAATTATTAAAAATTATTAAAAATTATTAAAATTATTAAAAATTATTAAAAATTATTAAAAGTTATTAAAAATTATTAAAAATTATTAAAAATTATTAAAAATTATTAAAAATTATTAAACATTATTAAAAATTATTAAAAATTATTAAAAATTAAATTAATAATCGTTCATTATAAACACGACACCGTGCGTACAGAGCCTCGGGCAGAAGCTAGTTGTAAATAAATGTTTTTATTCAACAGTAAATAGAGAAGCTTGAAACCAATATTTTTGAATAAGTTTAGGTTAACATAAAACGTTGTGTTGTTATAAATTATTCATAAAATTATGGGCTGGTGTGGGCTCATTCGATTTCGTAGATATCAATTTGGGCATTTTTTTGGATTGTAATAAAAACTATAAGTTAGTGATGCCTACAAGAAATTAAAATTGTTTTTTATAGGTTATTAAAAATCTGTGTATTATTATTATCATTAACTAATTATTATTATTTTTGTTGTGAGCCTCAACAATTATGGTTATTAGCCTCCTGTTCTGTGTAGGCTTTGTTACTGTTTCCCAGCGCCACTTTAGGAATAGCACTGTTAATTAGAACCCAACAGTGTATGGTCGAGTGGATAATCCTACCTAGGCATCAGAATTAATTTTAATTAAAAATATCCACTCCAATTGTGGGATTTGAACCAGGGACCCTCTATATTAATAATAATAATAATAATATAATAATAATAATAATATAGAAATAATCCAACATCTAACAAAATATCTTTTAAACCATGTGAGTCCAATCAAAATTTTAAATTATGAATATCAGCTATTTACCATTTGTATAGTCATTAAATAACAGTTCAAATGTTCTTTTTTAAAAAAAATTTTTCGCAGATTTTTAGCCACTTAACAAAAACAATATTGAGTTATAAGAAAATTTTTAGTTTAGTTACCTACAAATTTTTTATTAGAACGGATTTGGTATTTCGTATTTTTTTTAGAATTAGAAAAATCTAATAGAGGGTAATTTAAATTTATTTTAATAATGAAATTTATGTTTATTTTTAAAAATTTTGCATATAAACTAATTTACAACAAGATAGTGTCTTATTTTTAATCAAACCTTTTTTTCCCTGGGTTCGTCAGACTTAGTCTCCGATAACACTTTATTATTATTATTATTAGCAATTCCCAAACCAAAAAATAAGACTCATTTAATACATATATACGTATTTCCTAATGTATTATGCTATATACATTTTTGTGAATAAAATATTTACCAAATTGACATTATTTTTATTCTAATTATTTATTTATAACATTATTAATAAATTACAGGATTTAATGCCATTTCTGTGAAACAGACCAGCTCAGACCAGCTATTCTGGGAGTAATAATGATTCTTCCGTTGAATCAGGAATTTCTAAGATATGTGTCTCAACGCGCAGTCTCAACAAACAAATAAAAACAATAAAAACCAGAAAAACCGTATGGAGAGAAAAGAAAATAGAAAAAAAACAAGACCTAGAGGAAAATATAATTCTCGAAAATATAAAAGACAACGAGCTTGAGTTGAACAAAGAGTTTATTATGAATAAATTCTTTGAAAGTACAAAAAATAAAGAAAGTAATAAGGAAATTGAAATTTCGGATCAACAAAGTTTAACTAAACCTTACAATTCTTCAACAAAGAATATTTCTTCTGGCAGTGAATATGTTCCTTCCGAGGAATCGGAAAATTCTAACAAAAAAATAAAACATGTGAAAAAATTCGGCAAAAACAGAAAAAAACAAAATGCAAACAAAACAATTAAAGTTCTGCAGGACATTATTTTAAACAGTTCGGAAGAAACTAAAAATATGGGTAAAGAAAATATAAAAGATCATTCGACCGACAATAAGCTTTCGGATCAACAGAGTTTAATTAAATCCTACAATTCTTCAACAACGTATTATTCTTCTGGCCGTGAATATGTTGCTTTCGAGGAGTCAGAAAATTCTAGCAAACTAATAAAAAAAATAAAAATTGAGAAAATACTTGGCAAGAATATAAAAAAAACAAAGAAAAACAAAAAAATTAAGGTTCTACAGGACATTGATTTGAACAGTTCGGAAGAAAATAAAAATATAAGTAAGGATAATATAAAAGATCTATCTTCCGACAATAACTTGAGCAAAGAGTTTATTATGAATGAATTCTTCGAAAGTACTCATATTGAAGAAAACTATAAAGAGAATAACATTTTAGAACACAGCGCAGTAAAACCGTCCAATTCTTCGAATGAAAGTAAAATGAATACAGAAGAATCATCATTAGATAGTTTCCGAAAAGTTAATTCTACAAATGACATTGAAATAGTAGCAGCGTCTAAGAAGGAAGGTAAAAGAGTTAGAAATAAAACACATGTTTGTTATTATTGTAATAAGAAAATTATCAATATGGCAAGACATTTTGAATTGGTACATTACAAAGAGACTGAAATAGCAAAATTTATGAGTTTCCCAAAAAAATCCAGTCAACGCAAAGCAAATTTTGCAGAACTTATAAAAGTTGGTGATTTTTATCACAACTGTAATGTTTTAGCTACAAAAACTGGAGAATTAATACTCGTTCGGAGACCAACTAAAAACGAACTCAAATTCGTTAAAGACTCCGATTATGGTCCTTGTCCAAATTGTCTGGGATTTATGTTAAAAAAACATCTCTGGCATCATATGAGGTACAGCTGTAAAGATAAAGTTGTTGATACAGAAAAGACGAATGCAAAACATGTTATGTCAGAAAGCAATGCTCTTGTATCTGATATCTTTGGAATAGGTTTCACCAAGGAATTTCATAAATCTATAATTTCAAATTTTAGATCTGATGAATTAGGCGATTTTTGCCGAAACGATATTCTAATTTTAAAGTTCGGTGCCATGCAATTTGAAAAGTATGGAAATACCCAATCTGAATTTATACGCCAAACAATGAGGCAATTAGCACGTCTAACTCTGGCGTTAAATAAGTTAGAAAAAAAATCTAAAACATTATCAGATTTTTTAATTCCTGAGAAATTTGATCTTATAATTCAGGCTACAAAAGAAATAAGTATGAACCCGTTATCCGCAGATAGCATTGCAAGACCAGCTTTTCACACCCCAAGTCTAGCGTTAAAAATTGGACATGCTCTTAGAAAATGCATTGCAATTCAAAGAGGTAATGCACTTAGAGCGGGAAATTTAAAAAAAAACAAAACATTGCTATCTTTTAAGGAACTGTTGGATATGGAATGGAATATTAGAATTTCATCAAATGCACTATCTACGTTGTATAAGAGAAAATTAAATGCTAAGCAATTGTTACCTATTACAGATGACTTAGTGAAGTTAAGTAAATATATAGACACCAGTATTATGACCGCAAAATTGGACGTTGACAGTGATACTCGCGATAACAAAAAATGGACTAGATTAGCAACATTATGTTTAAGTCGCATAATTCTTTTCAATAAAAGACGTTCAGGAGAGGCCTCTAAAATGAAAATGAGTGATTTTATATCAAGGCCATCTTGGGAAGAACAAAATACAAAAGAAATAAGAGAATCACTCACTACTGTAGAGAGGAAATTGGCTGAAAATATGTCCTTAGTGGAAGTTGAAGGAAAACGTGGGAGAAAAGTTCCAATTTTACTTCCACCACTTATCAAAGAAAGTATTAATTCTTTAATAAGGCACAGAGATGAATGTAAAATTTCATTACATAATAAATATGTATTTGCAAGATCCAATGAATCAAGTGGTTTTTTAAGGGGCCATGACTGTCTTAAAAAAATTTGTGAAGAGATACGATTAGAAAACCCTGATGCTATAACGGGGACAAAATTAAGAAAATATGTAGCGACAGTTTGCCAATTATTCAATATGTCAGAAAATGAATATGACTGGCTTGCTCGACATTTGGGACATGATATTACAGTTCATAGGGAGTTCTACCGAATGCATGAAAGCGCAATAGAACTAACAAAAATAAGCAGAATTCTAATGGCTGTTGATCAAGGAGAAGCCCACCAATATGTTGGAAAACGTATTAATGAAATAAGTGTGGAAGGTTAGTACTTATAATTTACTCGCATAAAGCAATTTTACAGTTAATCTATTTTTAGATTTACCTGCTTTAGATGAAGAGAAACTTCAAAGTGATATCTCGGAAGAGGAAGAAGCACAGAGTGACGAAGAAATTGATGATGGCAGAGAAACAAACCAAAATATAAATGCAATGGCTGTTAACAAATTAAAGACTAAAAACATCAAAATACAAAGAAAAGGTAACATTTTTCTGCTAATATTTTGTGTATACTATCAATAGCAATATTACACCTTTAACATAGAATACCACTCTATGCACCTCTGAAAGAAAAAAATAATAATTCAACTGACTAGAACTTTTAAAATATTGTGTGTACACAATCACAGTATGTACAGGGTGGGCAAATTTTAATGTTTTAATGGAGAATCTCGTTAACTATAAATGGTATAGAAAAATGGATCTCCCATCCTCGATCTCTTTTTTCGAGAAAAACTTAATGGCATTTTCAAAAATTGGCTATTGTCTTTTGTTTTCGAGTTATAAACAAAAGTTCGCTTTTTTCAAATATTAATTACATGGCATTATTTCGCTTATTTATAAAAGTGGAAGAAAAAAATTTATACCTTTTTCAGGCACTTTTTTGATAAGATTCCAGTGGAGTAGTCATTTTTTTTTTAAATTCTTTAATTTCGAGTTATAGCATAAAGTTGTATTTTTTATGTGGAACCGGTAGTTGGCTGTGGCATACAAAAGGGACAAAAAATTTCCCATTTTAACGATATAATGTGGGGTCAGTTTAATAATTTTCATTGTTATTTAGCAAAAACCCATTATTTTCAAAATAATCTATAATACTCTGTTGTTTTCTAGTAGGCTGGTGTCTGTCATTCAGAATATTTATGACAGAAGTTTCGGCATTTCTACAACACTGATCATTTAATAACGTTTACTTGTTTATGATATCATCTTAAAAGTGCAAAATGGCCTATGAAAATAACAAAAAGTTTGACATGTTAGAGTGTTTTCTTTAAAGTAATAATAATTCTGAAGTTGCAAGTGAATATATTTTAATCGTTATCCGGAAAGAAGACAATAATGAATTTTTGCTAAATAAAAATGGAAATGAATAAACTAACCCCACATTATATATATCGTTAAAATGAGAAAATTTGTGTCTCTTTTATATGCCACAGCCAACTAACCGTTCCATACAAAAAAATACAACATTATGCTATAGTTCGAATTTAAAGCAATAAAAAAAATGACTACTCTACTGAATTTTTATCAAAAAAGTGCCTGTAGAAGGTGTACATTATTTTCTTCCACTTTTAAAAGTAAGAGAAATAATGCCATGTAATGAACATTTGAAAGAAGCAAACTTTTGTTTATAACTCGAAAACAAAAAACAATAGCCATTTTTTGAAAATGCCATTAAGTTTTTTCTCAAAAAAAGAAATTTAGGATGGGCGTCTATTTTTCCATACCATTTATAGTTAACAATATTCTCTATTAAAACATCGAAATTTGCCCACCCTGTACACACTTTCTTTCAGTATACAGTTATGGAACTTTAAACGCGGACCATCTAAGCTAAATTTATTGAAGACGATTGTAAGTGAAAATATACACACTTAGTCCTATAATACCTAGTCCAATTCATTGTAAAATAAAGGTTTCGCGTTTAAATTTCCATACCTGTATATCAATCGATAAAATGGTTTAAGTAATTGATCAATGTGTCTACCTCATCCATTTTGGAAACAAAAATTTATATTTATTTCAAAAATTAGTCTTTAAAAAACACTGACTTTTCATTTTCGTATAATATTTTTAGAGAGAAACAAAGAAAGAAAACCACAACCATGGTCAAGAGATGAAACTCAAGCAGTTCTGACATTTTTTAAAGGAAATATAAAAAACAATATTATACCCACAAAAAAAGAATGTGAAGAATGTCTCGCAACATATCCTGTAATATCCTCGAGACCATGGAAGAACATAAAATATTTCGTTAAAAATCAAATTAGTAAGAATAGAAAGAAAATGTATTTGTTTAGTTAATTTGAGGATGTTTATAAGAATTTAATAAATTTAAAAAATATGAAGGTAATAGTTTTATTACGTATGGACACCTCAAACCGATTTATCAATGATTGTGGCAACTTGTTAATTTGGCAACAGCGTAATTCACACAGATCCCGTAGAACTATATTAATGGCACCTTCGAAACACACCTTCTTCATTTATACATATTTAAGGCAACCCGTTTACCCTTACCCAATAGTGGCGTCTGATGCCATAAATCATTTTTCGTTATAAATTCTAAACTACGGAGGGTAAACACAAAATAAAAAGAGTTATACACTCCTCAGAACAGGAGCAATTAACGGTAAGAATATTTTACAAAGCGCCACAATTGAGGATATTGCATGCGTTGCCATAAATACGTCGAAACGTGTATGTGTGTGTGTGTGTGTGTGTGTGTGTGTGTGTGTGTGTGTGTGTGTGTGTGTGTGTGTGTGTGTGTGTGTGTGTGTGTGTGTGTGTGTGTGTGTGTGTGTGTGTGTGTGTGTGTGTGTGTGTGTGTGTGTGTGTGTGTGTGTGTGTGTGTGTGTGTGTGTGTGTGTGTGTGTGTGTGTGTGTGTGTGTGTGTGTGTGTGTGTGTGTGTGTGTGTGTGTGTGTGTGTGTGTGTGTGTGTGTGTGTGTGTGTGTGTGTGTGTGTGTGTGTGTGTGTGTGTGTGTGTGTGTGTGTGTGTGTGTGTGTGTGTGTGTGTGTGTGTGTGTGTGTGTGTGTGTGTGTGTGTGTGTGTGTGTGTGTGTGTGTGTGTGTGTGTGTGTGTGTGTGTGTGTGTGTGTGTGTGTGTGTGTGTGTGTGTGTGTGTGTGGGTGCGTGCGTGCGTGCGTGGGTGTGTGTGTGTGTGTGTGTGTGTGTGTGTGCGTGCGTGCGTGCGTGCGTGCATGCGTGTGAGTGCGTGCGTGCGTGCGTGCGTGTGTGTGTGTGTGTGTGTGTGTGTGTGTGTGTGTGTGTGTGTGTGTGTGTGTGTGTGTGTGTGTGTGTGTGTGTGTGTGTGTGTGTGTGTGTGTGTGTGTGTGTGTGTGTGTGTGTGTGTGTGTGTGTGTGTGTGTGTGTGTGTGTGTGTGTGTGTGTGTGTGTGTGTGTGTGTGTGTGTGTGTGTGTGTGTGTGTGTGTGTGTGTGTGTGTGTGTGTGTGTGTGTGTGTGTGTGTGTGTGTGTGTGTGTGTGTGTGTGTGTGTGTGTGTGTGTGTGTGTGTGTGTGTGTGTGTGTGTGTGTGTGTGTGTGTGTGTGTGTGTGTCGCATAACTCATGAACCGATACACGGAAAAACACCAAATTTTAAACTTAAGCTTTGTTCCAGCGTCTAATGAGCTGATTAGAGTCGGATAATCTGGGGGTACTTTATAGGTGGTCATTTTTATATTTTATAGAATATATCTGTTATTTACGTTTGGAGAAGAAAATTATTTAACTAAAAGTTACTTCTTATATTATTATCTACAATTTTTGTGCTATACAAAATTTTCCTAAAATGGTCCGTATTCGAGAAATTTGACAAAATGTAAAAAAAATATTTTTTTATAAAAATTGTTTAAACAAAAATTGTTTGTAATATAATTTTCTATAATTTTTATCCCATACATAATTTCTCTAAAATGGACCGTATTCGAGATATTTGAGAAAATGTGTAAATTTTGAAATTTGAAGAAAACTTAAAAACGGATAAATAAAAAACATTAAATTTTAAACTTAAGTTTTATTAAGGCCTGACGTGAAATTATTAGATTTTGGACAAAGTCGGAACATCTGGGGGTACTTTATGGGAGGTCGTTTTTATATTTTATGGAATATATCTGTTATTTATGTTTGGAGAAAAGAATTGTTTAAATAAAAGTTACTTCTAATATTATTATCTATAATTTTTGTTTTATGTAAAAATTTCCTGAAATGGTCCGTATTCGAGAAATTTGACAAAATGTGCAAAATTCTGATTTTTATGAAAATTGTTGAAATAAAAGTTGTTTGCGATATCGATCTCTATAATTTTTGTTTATACATGATTTTTCTAAAATGGACCGTAATGGAAAAATTGTAGGAAAAGTGCTAAATTTAAATTTTTCAGTATTTTCGTTTTCAATGAATATCTATAGAAAAATGTTTTGAAGGAGATGTATGTGGAAAATGTATATATTTAGTTTATCCTCCTCTAAACATTTATAGAGGTGCTGCAATAGGTTGTACAAAATAACCGGAAAAACCTGTAATAACTAGATAGGAAAGTCATGTGTTGGACACATCAGATTTTTATTAAAGGAAGTAAAGAAAGCCACTTAAAGTATTAGCAATAACTGACAAGGTAGGTAAGGTAATGTAAGGTAAGCTAAAAAGAATGATCATTGAACTATATTTGCATATATCATAACTAAGTAAAGGTGAACCATTTCAAATCAATGATAAATATCTTGATATTCAATGAACATAGTACATTATGTACAAAAGGTACAAATAATATTATTAAACAATAAATAACACATTCACTTAACTAGTGAATAAAGATATATAATAATATAATACCGGGTGTTTCAATTAAAGTGCTACAGTTAAATACCGCCGAAAATATGCATTTTAGAAAAAAAAGTTTTAGACAAAAGTTTTATAGTTTTTTGGGGGAAACATTTTGGCTAAATTCATTTTTTTATAGCTGACCATAATATGGCCATATCGAGGTGAACTTTATTTTTTTAATTGGGAATCCCATTTTTTCTTACATATTCTTAAAATACATAAAAAAAATAAGAAACTTTTTTATTGGACTTTTACTTTTTGAGTAACAGTTACTTGAAAATGTTGCTGCGCGAAAAAAAAGTTGGCTATATTATGGTTAGCTATAAAAAACGATTTTAGCCAAAAGTTTTTCCCTACAAAACTATAAAACTTTCTTCTGAAACGTTTTTTTTTTTATAAAAAGCGGTATATAGCTGTAACGCTTTAATTTAGAACACCTGGTATAATATAAATTATGAAAATTAAGATAAATAATGTACACACTTTAGTGAGTGCAGGGAAGGTATACGAAACATCTTCGTAATGCTATCACTTTTCTCAGTGTAAATTAGCAAAGGTACATACAAAGATAAAAAATATATTAATGCAAGTTATCTGTTAACCTAAGTTAACCTAAATATAAAATTTGGCAATACTCAACTATAGTATATTACATTACGAGTGTGGAAAATCACTTTTCACACAAGTGATGTACAATATTTTTCCTACGACCACAAAATAATTTTATCAAAAAATGTAATATCAGGTTATTATTATAATAATTAAAATGTATTTAAAAAAATAATAACAAAAATCGTATTTATTCAATTTTCATATTTGCTAATTAAAAAAAAAATTAAAAACAAAAAAAAAATAAAAAAAAATAAAAAAAAAAATTTTAGCCCCACCAGGATTAGAACGCGGTCGCTCGCCAGGTCTCAAATGGCAAAGTTGATAAGTTTCATGCTCTAACCATCTGAGCTAATGGGCCTTGGATCAATTAATTGATCTAATCGGTTATGTGTTTAATAATAATTGTTAAAGATAAATGTCTAGGATCTAATTTACAACAATTTCAATAAGTTAACAATCATCGGTTTTAGTATTAATATGGACATTACATATATCAAAATAGAAATGATGTGTTTGACATTTTGTGACAGCTGCTGCAGAAAGTAGCATATTCGTACACTGGTGGAAAATAAATTCTTATTAATACGCTTATTAATAATAGGACTATATAGTGTGATATGTGTCACTTTTCTAAGTGGTCCTAGGAAAAATTATTTTCAATATAAAGTGAAAACAGAGGTATCAAATGTTATTGCTAAAAGCATAAATTCTTAAATTATAATAGAAGGAAGAATAGAGATATACAAACTTTTACTACCTGTATTAAAATATAATTTAAAGTTGGTTCGGAATCAATTAGTTATGCAATAGTTAGGTACTTAACCATATAAAGAAAAACACGAAATGCTAGATAATATAGTTCAAAGTCAGCTTAAATATTATAAGACTGAATTTAAGAAAAAGGTAATCTTGTTAATGAATGTTTCAATTAAATATTCACAATAAAGAATAAATTCTAAAGGAAAGAAATTCAAAATCTGAAGAAAATGTAGAATTTAAATTACTAAATTTAATAAATTGAATAAATCACTGCACTAAGATTCAATAGCAAGGAAAAATTATAAATATATTTCTACACACTCTCCTAGTATGGTAAATGCAAAATGACGTCTCAGTTTCAAAAACTTGTACAGAATCATATTAATAACCGATAGATACAGTGTCAGGCAAGCAAATGAAAAGAAAATAAAAAAAAAACAAATTTATTAACATAATTTGGACACCCTCCTTAAGTGGTTATTGCAAACTAGATAGTTTCAAATACTTATCCAAAATTATACTAACAAATAAAGGGAAATGTAAAGAGAAAATTATGTTAGCTAGGAAATTAGGTAGAATTTTTTTTTTAAATTACTATTAGTAACTGAATACATATTACTAAAAATTAAGGTAGATTTACAAAATAAGCAATAGCAAACAGTTAAAAGTTAGAAGGTAATGTCTGGTCTGACTTATAAATATTCCAATGGTGTAAAAGGAAAAAATTGACTACAGGCGGTATTACTTGGTCGTGTAGGTAATAGCAGAATAATAAAAAGCTAGATATAATATTCTGGCCTGACGGTAGCTTTTATTATTCTGGCTTGACAGTAATGCTTTAACTGTTAAATGATTAATTTCACAGAGACTAAAATTAATATGAAAAGGAAAAATCTTATTTAATATATTTAAATATAGTAATGCATAATATCTTATTCCAAAATATAATATATAATTTTATATAGAAGCTAACACATGTCTCATTCATTTTTGTAGAGGTTATGTTATGTTATGTTATCAGAAATCATTGCACAAAATATATATTTAATACCATATTATTAAGAAAACATACCTTATAAAATCAGACGGCTATTAACATAAATAAATATCATTT